TGTGCAAATAGCTATGGCAAATTTTTAAAGCTGATATATGAGAGCCCAAATCATTTAAAGCGGTTGTTATTAATGGTAACAGTCCATCGCATACAGCTGCCGCAGCACCCATAGCATTACACAGATATATAAGCTCAGGTTCCACTTTCTTCTGTAGAATAAAAGTTAAAAAACCATGTTAGAACAGCATTCCAAGTTAAACATTACAAACTGCTGAAGTAAACTGTATTAAGCGAAAAAAAAAAAGAAAAAAAAAGGAAACCATGTATCGAAAGTAGTCGTTTTTTTGCTGAATTTACCATCAAACTTTTAAAATCATGTCCTAATAATTAACGTTTAAAAGAATTACACCGGCAGCAATTGCTTTTTTTGCACCGTTCCATAAAGTTAAGCAGATTTCACATTTCGAGGTCTTCTCTACCGAGAATTCGCAAGATGCAGCCAAAATAATACCTGAATACAATCCTGCGTATTATTAAACAGCGAACAGCGCGAGAATAAAATGCTTTCTCAAATTGACCGTGGGAGCATATAGCGGCCATTTCAAACTATCAAATCTTGAAAGCAAGATTATTTTCAAAGATAAAGCTTACTTTTTAACTCAGTTAACAGAGCATAATGTTAATGATAAAAAATAAAACTCTCCTAACACTAAAAAAAGTCATTCATTCAAAAAAAAAAACTTACTTAAGAGGACTAAAACTCGGTACATAACAACCCACAAAACTTGTTTTTGCTAATGCAAACGTGTTAATGCACAGTGAAAACACAGGCACAGTTTTCTGCCAAATACCATACCGCTCTAATTCTGCGATTACAACGCTGTTAGGAGGCACGTGCGTAAAACCATCGAAGGATCACCAATACACATTGTTCAGTGAAGTGAGGAAAAAAATATACACTAGGAACCTAAAGGATTAACATAAGCTTTTGGTCAACGATTCAACCACAGATATTCGCAACAAAAATTGCTGGCAAGAACAGGCTGCTCGAAGACCTGAATATTCAGCCAACGAATCAACACATTTGAAAAGAACATTTGTCACAACAGTATCCTAAACTCGAAATTAAAAAAACTGTGTTAATTACAATTAAACTTATTTTCACAAAGAACGTGAACACTACAATTCGTAAGCAGCGGATAAAAGTAGCTGAAGAAACGAGGAAAAGACATTAGCATAAATAATCAAAAGTGTTAGGAGAGTATTATTTTGTATTACTAACATTCTCCTATGTTAACTCAGATAAAAAGCAAGCTTTATCTTTGAAAATAATCATGCTTTCAAGATTTCATAGTTTAAAATGGCCATTATAAGAACTTAGGCTTAGGCTTAAGCTTACGCTTAGGCTCAGGCATAGGCTTAGGCTTAGGCTTAGGCTTAGGCTTAGGGTTTTA